TTATTTATTTATTTATTTATTTATTTATTTATTTATTTATTTAATTTGTCCCCGCCCATCTCCCCACAATGGGGACTCTGGGCGGCTTACAACATACTAAAAAACATGAATACAGTTAAAAGTTATAAAACCAAATATTAAAAATAAAAATAAAAAAGCTAAGAAATCTAAGAGGCCGCTGGGGCCACAGCATACCACTAAGGGGCCAGCCAACCCCAATTCTGATTTCTTCCCTCCCTGCCCCAGGCCAGATGGCAGAGCCATGTCTTTAAGTCCCTCTGAAAGGCCCGGAGTGAGGGGGCCTGTCTCACCTCCGGGGGCAAGATGTTCCAAAGGGCGGGGGCCACAGCAGAGAAGGCCCGCCTTCTGGACCCCACTAATCGGAGTTCTTTTACCGCAGGGATCCGAAGCATGCCCTCTCTCTGAGATCGGGTGGGATGGGTAGAGATTGTGGGGGCGAGGCGGTCCTTCAGGTAGCCTGGCCCCATGCCATGTAGGGCTTTAACGATGATAACCAACCCCTTGAATTGGACCCGGAAGCAAACTGGTACCCAATGCAGCTCACGGAGCAGAGGTGTTATATGGGTCCTTCTTCAGGCCCCAAAAATCGCCTGCGCGGCCGCATTCTGGACCAGCTACAGCTTCCGGATATTCTTCAAGGGTAGCCCCATGTAGAGCGCGTTGCAATAGTCTATCTGGGAGATAACAAGGGCATGAGTGACCGTTCGCAAGGCATCCCAATCCAGAAAAGGGCGTAACTGGTGCACAACCTGAAGCTGTGCAAAAGCCCTCCTGGCCACGGCTGCCACCTGCTCTTCAAGCAGGAGTCGTGAGTCCAGGAGGACCCCCAAGTTACGCACTGGGTCTGTCTTGGGCAGTGCTACCCCATCCAGAACCCAAGATGACAACATCCCCGATACAGAAGAGCCATTAAACCACAGCCACTCCGTCTTGCCAGGGTTCAGCTGGAGCCTGTTGTTCTCCATCCAGACCCTCACAGCCTCCAGGCACCGCAAGAGGGCAGAAACAGCATCACTTACCTCACCAGGGATGGAGATGCCATTCCACAAAGTATCCTCTGGTCAGAAAAGTGAAATATAAATCAATCAAATAAATAACAAATAAATAAATGCAGACTAGGCACTTTCACAGAATAGGCCTTTACAAGAGGAGATACAAAAAGAAAGGTCTTTGAAGCTCAAGAAAGTTACTGTAATATGGGGGAAACATTCTGTACAGTATCTTGTTCCTGTGTGTTTAAAGGATTTAAAAGTTAATACCCAGCACTTTAAACTGTGTTCATAAACAAAACATAACTAATAAAGTTGATGTAGGATTGGAGTCATATAATCTGTGCTTTAAACTTTTTAACTTAAACGTAAAAAAAAAATCGGCTGAATTTTGAACCACCTGACATTACTGAGCCATTGTCAGTAGTGTCCATACAGAGAACAGGAAGACATTCTATGAGCTATAGTTTGTGCTAATGAAGTACTCCTTTCATATACAGTGATACCTCTACTTACGAACGCCCCTACTTACGAAATTTTCGAGATACGACTAGCTCCGGCCCCAAAAATTTACCTCTACTTACGAACTTGCTCCTACTTACGAAATTTTCGAGATACGACTAGCTCCGGCCCCAAAAATTTACCTCTACTTACGAACTTGCTCCTACTTA